GGCATCACAGCTCACAGCAACCTCCAACTCCTGGGCTCAAGCGAGTCTCCTGCCTCCACCTCCCAAGTAGCTGGGACCACAGGCGACCACCACAACACCCGGCTATTTTTGGTTGCAGCCGTCGTTCTTTGGCGGGCCCAGGCTGGATTCGAACCCGCAACTGGGTGTATGTGGCTGACGCCGAGCCATTTTCCTCTTTTTCAAACTCTGTTATGCCTGAAGACTTAGCTTAAATGCAACTTCCTTGAAGCTATTTTCTGATTTCCATCTATTCTCAGTCAAATGAGCATTAACTTCTGTAAAGGACCATAGAGCATGCACAGAGAATGAAGTTAGATTGTTGGTTTGTTGAGTCACAGACTACATCATGTTCATCTGTGTATTTCTAAAAGTATCTAGGACAGTAGTTCTCAACCTTCCAAATGCCACAACCCTTTAATATAGTCCAAAGGGGTCACAACCTATAGAATGAGAACTGCTGATCTAGCACGATACACTTCAGGAGGTACTTTGTCAATTTTTTATTTAATCAACTGATCCAGCCACCTCACTTCACATGTGAGGAAATGCAGTGTTTTGAGAGGTCAAAGGGTTCTCTCAGAGGCATTCACTGATGGAGATGGAACTAGAACCAGAGTCATCGCTCGCAGGCCAGGGTGTAAGACTGTTGGTCTTGTGGGACTCTCCTCAAGCATAGTGTCGCTGGCAACTGTGACGGCATTTTCCCAAGTAAGGAGGGAAGGGCAGAGTAAGCCCGGATAAACCTTTTTCTCTCTTAAAGTTGCCTCAAGAGGGACTTTGGATTGTATAGTCAGTATAAAGGTGAGAAATTATTTACATATTTTCTAAAGGCTCCATAAACTTTAAATAGCCTTATCTTACTCATATTTAAAATAACAGTATAAATTAATGTCCTGTCAGAGATGATAATGTAATGTATTACTTTTGGTACATTCAGTGACCAAAAGCCCAGCGTAAACCGAAGCTCAGGAAGCAGGTCACAGCAAATTATTAACGCTTGCCTTTGTGATACTGTGATCAGGGTTGAGAGGGATAGTCTATAGTTTGCTTTCAGATTGCTATATCATCTTCACATAACTATTATCTGGGCTGAGAACCTCCTCAGATCACTTCCTGACTTCTGTCTCATCTAGCCCAGAGTTGGTAGGAAGTCTTCACATATTGGGAGAGGAGAAGTAGCCCTCCCTTTGTTTCTAGCATTGAATTTAAACCTCTAGTGGGAGCCTTTGTTGCTCCATCCTCTTCCTGAGTCATCAGGTATTTGTTTTCTTGGTCCTTTCTTTGGGACTGGGTTGAGCTTACCCCCTAACTTAGATGCTTGGAGAGAACAAAGGTTAGATGATGAAATGGTTTTGCAAGAAGCTTAGAAGAAAATTTCTTTAGGAAGAATCAAGGTAACCTGGATTCTCTTAGCTTCAGGCCCCAAGAGATATTTCTTGGCAACTCAAGTTGCCAACAACTTAGCATGAAGAGTGCTATGTTTTAATACAGAAACAGGGTCCAAGAGCAAATTTT